GATAGGCTTGCGTTTTAAAGGGGCAAATCATCCGTTGATAGCCCAAATAATAATTGAATTTTCGTTTTGTAAAACTGTAGTCTGAAAGGGTCAAAATTGACCAGGCAAAGGGCGAGTAGAAACATTCAAACCAGTGGGGGCACACTTGGCTGGCAATGTGACGCTCTTTGACGCTCAACAGGCGGTAAATGCGCTCCATTAAGTCGATATTGAGTGTTGCCCAGTGAGAGCGAGGCGGAGGAAGGCGTGACTGACGGCGGATTTGCTGACGTTGACGCTTCGCTTCACGTTTAAGGGCTCGTTTTGTTTGAACTTCAGTAGAAAGAGATGAGCATTGTCTATTCAAAAAATAAAATAATTTAATAGTTTTTCACTGCAAACATTGCAACCCTACTTTTTCTTTTGATTGTAATTTGAAGTGCCTGGAGCTAGTGACAAATGGTCGTATATTTCAGCATCTGTGCTCACTAGCACTGTGTTTACCGTTAACTCTGTTTGCTGGTGTTGACAGTCTGAAACTTCATCTTTCACATCTGCTTCTTCATTTACATTATCATTTTGATGACATCTGCCTTTATCAATTTTATTTTGATTGTCGTTGTGTTGAGTTTCTTCTTTACAGCATTCTGTTTTAATTAATTTTTTAAAGTTTTAATATGAGCTTACAATTTACCTACTTTTGATGTATCATTGAAGTTACCCTTACCTGACAACTTTTGCTCGCGTGCCAATTTGGCGGCCACTTTTGCCGTCAGTTCGGGGGTTGAAGTGTTACGATATGCTTTTAGTAGCATTGTGTGGTAGATGTCCTCCTCTTCGGAATCGGAATCGGACATGATTTATTTCAACTTATTTGAGATCGTTTCAAACAATCCTGAATTTTTTTANTTGGCGGCCACTTTTGCCGTCAGTTCGGGGGTTGAAGTGTTACGATATGCTTTTAGTAGCATTGTGTGGTAGATGTCCTCCTCATCGGAATCGGAATCGGAATCGGACATGATTTATTTCAACTTATTTGAGATCGTTTCAAACAATCCTGAATTTTGTTGAACTGATAAACCGTATTGTCACCTTCAAGTTGCGTCTCTGTTGTCTCTAGTGTTTAGGCGTTTGCAGGCAAAAGTGCGTTCTTGCTCAAAACATTCTGCTTGCGCAGTTGATGCACATTCCACTAGTGAAGAATCAAGCTGCCTGTGCCAAAAATGGAAGCAAAACAAAATGATGAGGGAGAGAATTCTATTTTTGCAACTCTACAGAGAGTTAAATGAGGAAATAGATTTTGTATTTGAGTAAAATGTATAAGTAATTATGCATACTGTATAATTTAAACAGTATTTCAAGTTCAAGAAACAAAATTTTTATAAGTAGAATCAAAAGAAAGTTTTATTTATCAACAAAAGCACAAGGACACAGTTAAAAGTGGCAAATGTGCCTTATTAAAGCAATGGCCCAACCAAATTTAAAATTAAAATGTAAAATAATAACAAATTGGCAACCATAATATTGGTAGGTGAAATTCTGAATCTGAATTTCAGGACTTTTAAGAGATTCTGCCATCAGATTAAGTGTAAAGGACATTTCGCATGAACTGAAAAAGAGAAATATAAGTTAAAACCAAGATAAACAGATTTTAAATAAAGTTTTACTTCATCGAGGGTGAAAGAAGATTCGTTGGGCGCAGATGACTGATCGAGAATATTGCGGGTAAACATTGAGAAGGCATTCGGAATTCCTATTTGCTTGTTCTTCTTATTATTCCACACTTCGATGCATCGTTTCATTTTCAGTGAACAACAAATGAAGTCGTCAAAATATAGCTGATCCTCAATGGTCGCCGTGTTCTTTGAGTGATGACCAAAACGGTTTACCAGCATTCGAAGTATCTGCCGATTAACGTTAATGCCCACTTCTCGGAAAGCCTCCTTTAGTTCTCCGGCTGAAATAGTTTTGTTTCCGTCCTTGTCGTGTTTTTGGAACACTGCGCACCAGTTCTTCAGATTGCGCCACAATTGAATGAACTCGTCGAATCCAAGCTTTCCGGATTCGTCGAAATCCATCATTGCAACCATAGAGCGACATGCTTCAATAGAAAATCCTTCAAACTTTAGCTCTACAAATTAAAAAGTAACAAATTGTAATAATTTGCATACAAATCATAAAGTTCATACCTTTCTTGAAAACGTGATTCATAATTTTTTGTAACTC